AACTCCCAAAGGCCGTCGTCTATCTTCAACAGAACAAAGCCGAATTCTATCCCTTCATCGAGCAGGCCACAGCAAGAAGGCCATCGCGGAACAACTCGGCCGATCCAGACCCTGCATCGACGGTTTCGCGAAGAATCCTACGGCTTACGGTAAAGCACACGGAGGAGGACGTCTACGCAAATTGACACAGAAGGATCGCTAGATTGACTTTCAACTTTGCTCCATCGCGAAGCCTTAAGTCGCTAGAAATCATTTTTCAAGAAACTGGATGAAGAGGTTTCTGACACATCTCATAAACCGAGGGATTTTTTTTCAAAACGTGTTATAGCATGGGCGGCCTTCTGTTTGTATGGAGCACTGAATATGGAATTCTTCTCCACGCACATGGATCAAGATGTTACTCAGCGCAGATTGTTTCCTTACCTCCACGATCACAGGCAAAAAGACTCGTTCTCGACAGGATAACGCTCCTGCACACGTCTCGCGTTCAACTTGTGAATGGCTTGGAGACAACCATGCGGAGGAGTCCAGTATGACGGTGTATCGATGCTGAGAGAAGTCGCACTGAGTGCATGGACCTCAAATCCATGTTATTCAAAATCTTGTTGATAGTATGCCGAATAGAATGTTTGAAGTTAGTCTTAAAGGGTGGTCCAATTATGTATTAATTTTGAACCGGCTGTGCTTTTTTTCTGTTTTCATTTCATCGGTGTTGAGGTATAGCATAAAGTGTTTTTGACGCAGCACTCTTTATGAATGAACTGTTCAAACGAAGTCGTTCTCAAAAAGGTGCATGTCTCTTTTTTGAGTTTCTGATTCTGATACAGTCAACAGTTAGTGCACTATGTGACTTGTGCAGAAAGTTAGGTAAGAACGAGATAAGCAGATGTATGCGAGACGATGGCTTAAGCAAAGTTCGGGCTCAGACCCACCTAAGAAGCCCTTACCATGGCTAGAAGTGCTGGGTACGCAAGTGCAAAGGTAGCGCCACCTTTCTACATCGAAACGCGTCACTAGGACCCTAGGCGCCATGGACTTCTAACAGACTCCACCAAACTTAACATGGTCCGCCCACCGTTCGATATCTTGTCTGCGTCGCCACGTTGATCTGCTATGCTCTCTCTTCTCGGACTTCTCTACCACTCTCCGCGCTCACATTATCTCTCATCCTGCCTGTCTTTGAACTTCTCCACAGCATAGAGCAAAATGGTTGTATCTCCTAAGTATTTCAGGATCCTTCCCTTTTTCCCCATTGGCGGTCCACGTTCCATCCCTACGTTCACATTTGAGTGAACTCATTAATTTAATCCTGATTCTTGCCTTTAAGCAATTGACTGTACTGTACACACTGTATGGTTGTAGGCGATATTGTTCTTGTGCGCGCTGTGATTCCAGTGCTTAGAACAGGAGAAGGACGAGCTCTGTCCGAGCCCTGGCCATTGGACGCGCTAGGTCGCATTTCTAGACGGACCATACCACTATTGCATGCGTTCTGAATGGCCACGTCGGCCAGACGGCCAATAGCTCTGAATGTGCGACCGTAAGGGAGAGAAACGGGTGTGAGGGTGGGGGGAGGGGGGGGGAGGTTGAACAAACCGCAGCTCACCAGCTAACGGTCATGAGATGAGCACGTTTTCGCGAGAAGTATGAAAAAGTAACTTACAGCAGTGGAGGGCTACAAGCGGATTTCCTTTTCTTTCCTGGATGTCGAAACGTACGCCTTAGAACTTGAAGAAAGTCACGGTGCTATGGGAGAGGAGATTGCTCTCGGCGTAGTCCACTTCTGGCAGACCATACCTTATACTTCTTACGAGAATAAGGAAGGAAATGGAGCGGACCCGGTGGTAGAAGGAGCGTCAGCAGAAGATGGCGATGTGAAAAATGTTGAGAAGCACTGCTAGAGAAAGACTTCCTCCATCATCAGATGAAGGGGAAGGGTTAGAATGGGTTGGGGGAAGTGAAACAGGCAAATCCATCGATTTCACCTTTGCCCTGCCTCTCTCCGTAAGGTTCGTTGAAATTCCGCCAAAATTTCCAAAACCGTAAAAGCGATCTCTTCCCCTGTACAGTAACACGATCCACGAATTTCAAAGCTCAAGGAATGTGGTAACGAGAACAAAGAAAAGAGTAGGAGGTAAAAGACATTAGGAAGGACCTAACCGTAGTGAAAGTTACGGTAAAGGATGCTTCGAACAAAATGAGGTTGCAACTCCTGACAGGAACGGTGGAGTGTGCTACGACGCGGGATTACCGCTAGGAAGAAGAAGGAAAACCTATTTGTTGCCAGAGTGGGTGGTGCAGATTGCTTCTCTCACCATGCGTAAAGTGGTGGCTTGAAGTTTAGGGACGCCCAAGCCAACCAAGTTCTCTCCATTCGGGGTTGAAAATTGGTGCCAGGCTTCTCTGCGAAGAGAAAAATCGGAGAACTTGTATGACGGCTGGCTCCCGTAACTAATTCCATAGGCAAGTGTCACTGCGATCTGAAGGTACGTTTAATAGAATGTGTGACGCAGAAGAAAGGTCCCAGAAAGAGGTCGGTAAACATCAAATGATTTTCACTCCTATTTCTCCATCTCTATGCGACTTTTCTTTGAAACAGTATACATCGACTGTTGAGGGATCTTCACTGAGAAGTGCAAAGGGTTGAAAGGAGGCAAGATCACACCTAGTTTACTTCCAGAACAATAGGGATCTATGTTGTAAAGGATTTCAATGGCATGGCATGCTCTGTTCTAAAATGGCTGGCTAAGCCGTCGACGGCTCCAACATTCAACTAACGCTACACGACAACGCACGCCTTGGCCCCTTTGTCGGCGGAACCATGGAAGAAACAGTTATTTGCAAAAGGTGAATGGCTAGGGACGGCCTTCACGTGCTCAAGCCAGTTACCTTATGGTTCTGTTGCTGTACGCCTGGGAACAAACCATTTATCTGCGACTTGCTTAATCACCCTTGAGAATTCCAAAACACAAGGTGATAGTTTTAACCCTTTGACGACCGCGCGCTCTAAACGTGTCTAGCGTGTGGGACCGCACGCCAGACACGCATGTGGCCCGCCGGCGGGCCATACGGTCCCAGGAGACCGCATTTTTGCTTAATTATAGCAACATTGATTAAATTGCAAACTTTCTTAGGTAAGTCGTCGTACTAATCAACCATACATTGTAACGCAGATGGATTATTAGCAAAGTACTGAAAAAGACCAATGAAAAAGACCTCAGAATATTAGTGTAACAGAAGTGTTTTGATAATACTGTTGAAGTTGCAGCTACCGAAAACAATTTGTTTTCTTGCGCAAAACTTGCATTCAAAAATCGACCAGATTTGAATACAAATGCTTCTTTCAAGCTTCTTTCTTTAGTCACTGTGGTGTCAATAACAAGTAACGTTATTCAATAGACGGTTACTACCACACACTGAATTCCAATTTAAAGGAATCTTCCACGGACCATGGACCAGTGGGCGGGACCGGAAGTTTTTGTGACGAAATGCATGGTAGGTACGGATCCACGTGTCGAACGCACGAACGTGAACAGGATTCACTTCAAACCTTCCCATGAACGTGGATCCGTACCTACCATGCATTTCGTCG